TTCTCTCTCTCTCTCTCTCTCTCTCTCTCTCTCTCTCTCTCTCTCTCTCTCTCTCTCTCTCTCTCCCCATTCGCTCCATTCTTGGTACGAATCTCCCCCCCAAATCCCCCTGGCTACCCTCTTAAAAAACAGCAAAACAAACCATTGCCCCCACCCCCTTAAAAAAATACAAAAAAAACAACACCAAACAAAACATGAATAAACTCAGATCGAAACGAGTTTTCCGCATTGGAAAAGCACAGGCTGCTTTCATATCTTTGTCTAGGATTTGGAAGACCAGCGATATCTTATTTCGAATAAAGCGGAGGATTTTCAATTCAAAAGTGAAGTCGGTCCTGTTGTATGGATGTGAGACATGGAACGCATCACAGACTTGCGTAAAGAGGATCTTGAGAGGTGCAAAAAATTTGAAGGTCTAGATCTATACTCTCAAAACAAAATGCACCTTGTGAAATATCACTTCCGGCACTTCCGTTGTGAAGGACAGCTGAGCAACGCAGATTTTTTTTTCGTTTCTCAGTGGGAAAATCATAAAGGCCAAAGTAGGAAGGAAACTTTTTGTTAAATATATCTTTCTAAATATAGGAAATTAATAAATAAAAAATCGGGCTCGGCCATGGGGACCTATCTCTCTTTTTGCAGGTACTTGCCAACTTTCAACGGCGTAGCTGTCGTAGTTTTATGGGGAAGGTGACACATGTGTTTCCATGTTAGCAAATATAATAATAAATAACCTGTGTGTGACTTGTAAAGTGTTGCGGGATGGACTTACCTTCCCCTTTTTCATATGGCCATGGATGGACTCTGCGGTGTCCCGGTTCTTGTCTGACTTGTTCAGGTGGTTGGAGTCCCTGCCCAGCAGTTCCTCACTGCTGTAGCCGCTCACTCGCTCGTAGGCATGGTTCACGAACTGGGGGGAAACAAAAGATATACTGTTGATATTGTCATGAAGTGAATGGAACAAACTCGTTGGTATGGTTCACGAACTGATGAGTAGCAAAAGACAGGGAAAAAAGCTTGCTCCGAGGAATGGTCAGGCGTGTCTCAAACCAGCTCCTCATGCAGCTGGTTTGGGACACGCCTGACCACTCCTCATGGAAACAATTAGCAGGAAGACCCTGGGGTGGACGCTGGAAAGGAGAAATGAGCAGCTATGGACATGTGCCGCCTGCTATGATTCTAGCTCTGGATCCAAGTAATTCCAAGCAAAGATATGCCATTGATATAGTCACAAGAGGTGAACGGAACAAACGTGTAGACATGGTTCACGAACTGGGGAGCAGCAAAAGACAGTTTTAGAAATTGATTTACGGCACTTGCAACACAATACGGTCATATAAGTGCCGGAGATTAGAAATGTTACGAGAGAGTAACAAACACAAAAAAAGAAGGAGAAAAGATAAGGACGACAGATGTTAGATAGGAAAGAAGAAGAAGCAAATCACATCAGAGCACCCGCCAACAACCCACTGGAAGCGCCCCGCGTCTTTCAGACAAGAAAAAAACCGCCCCACGAGGAAAGAAGAAGCGACAGAGAAACTGCCAGACTAGACAGAGAAACTGCCAGACTAGACAGAGAAACTGCCAGACTAGACAGAGAAACTGCCAGACTAGACAGAGAAACTGCCAGACTAGAACTCTCCTTGAGCCGGTTAGTTAGCCGGGACGTTGTCAGCGAAGAACCGCAGTATTAGGTTACTGTCATGTCTTTGTACTGTGAGGCATCGTGGGGAAATCAGGCGGTCGACAAAACAATGAAATCAAACAAATTGGCTTTTTTCTAGCTGTTCGAGGGGCATTTTTTTTCTAATTCTCTTTTTTTTTGGCTGAACACCTTTTATGTCAATTTAAAAACACATTTCTGTGTGAATTTTACTGAAAAACACTGATTAAAGGTAAAAAAAACAACAACCTATGGATTTTCAGTTTCCAAGGACTAACAAGCTATGAAAATATAAAACTTTAATCGCCATTTTATCGCTTAACTTACCTCTGAAACCAGACAACCCTCACCTCCTTCAATCGCAAATATCTCGACTTTTATTCAACATAGACTGATATTTTTCCTTTTTGCCGCAAAAGGAAGACAAATGAACAGGCTTTACAAAGGTCCAAAAAACCTAATTTGTCAGAAATTGACGAGCGCCTGATTCCACCACGGTGTGCCACAACTAATGTTAAATTCTACGTAAAGAGGAACGCCGAAACCAGGGTCATTGAATCTGGGCCGATAGACGAGGCTAGTGAGAAGAATGGAAGAGATATTGATTTTCTCCTGTGGAGACCACAGATGTGGGTCTTTAGCGACTCTCAAACATGGTGCAGATTCTGGAAACGTGCATTGCGAACTTCCAACCATGGTGCAGATTCAGGAAACATGCTTTGCAAACTCCCAAAGATGGTGCAGATTCTGGAAACGTGCATTGCGAACTTCCAAACATGGTGCAGATTCAGGAAACGTGCATGGCGAACTTCCAAAGATGGTGCAGATTCTGTAACCGTGCATGGCGAACTTCCAAACATGGTGCAGATTCTGGAAACGTGCACGACAAAGAGGCTGTATCGGGGGTCTGAACGCGGACTCTGAGGGATCAAGGAGCGGGGGTATGGGGGTGGGGGT